TTTGGAAGGACAGCAGTTCCAGGGACAACACTTCAACCATGACAATACTTGGAGGTGGATAAAATATATCTACTTCGTGACTTCCAGGAGCCTGCAGTCTAGTAGCTCAAGGCAAACACTATTTATATATCTTTTCACATCACCCTGAAAAGTAGGCATTGTCAATTAGTCCCATTTATAGAGAAGAAAATTGAGACTCCAGAAAATAACTAGCATGCCCAAGTACACCTTTGGTAAAACGTGGCATTTCTTAACTCAGTCCTTTGCCACATAGATTTAGCACTTCAGAGATAAGGCGATCTGGCTGGGGGAATAGGATAACAACTCTATTGATAATGTAGCATCTGAGCTATGCCTGGGGAAATGGACAGTTTTGATAACAACTTGATTAGTTTGGTAGAAGAGCAAAATGACCCACCTACAATCAGACTGTGGTTGCTAGCTGCTGCCTAGTGGCCCCAACTCATGGTGACTGCATGTACAATGAAACAAAGACTGTACCTTCCCCACGAACCGGTTATAGATCGGATCGTTGTGGTGCACAGGGCTGCCTTGGCTGATGTTTGGAAGCAGATCACCAAGCCTTTCTTCCTACCCCAGCTTAGTCTAGAAGCTCTACTGGAACCTGTTCAGCATCAGAGCTTCAACTAGCCAATTGGTGGTGGTTATTGTGCATGAGATGCATTGGAAGGGAGTCAAATCCAGTTCCCTCTCAGAAAAGGTAAACATTTTGCCACTGCCAGTGCTTCAGGAGTGGTTATGTACCCTTCTTAAAACACTCTGAAGAGTATTTCAAATGTGGAATGTGAGGAAAAGTTACCCTGGAAACAGAGATGGCATTGTCTTCAAACCAGAGAGAAATTCTTTGTTCTGGATGGTAAGACAAACACTGAAGGAATACAAAGACGTACTCAGCAAATCCTTTTCTTTATGCTCACCCTCCAAAATGAAAACTCTCACATTCTTTTAATTACTTTACTTACTTTTGTTAGTAAAACATCTGAAAAAAGCATCCATCAATGGGTGGGGAAGATAGGAGGATTATCCATACTTATTTCAATTTCAGACGGTTGTTCTTCAACTCTCTCAGGTCAAAAAAATTAACCCATTTCTGACTTCAGGGAATGCCATTTTAGCAGCTTAATTCCTACCCAGGCCACACTATGTTTCACATCACTCAAGAAAAGCTTATAAAAATTGCAATGAGAAGGGATCTACACTATTTCTCAAAACTACACATATTGTAGTCTAAAAGCCATGCAGTCAAGCAGACCAGCCTGGAACAGCTGGAGCAAAAGAAGATACATCTTCAAAAAAAGATCATCAGGAAAAACCCGAAACAAAAATGTCAGTATGACTGGCTACTACAAGAATAAGCAAGCTGTTCGCGAGGAAGCCATCAAGGCAAGCAATCAAGTTCCTTCAGGACAAACCTCCCTCTAAGACTGAAACTCAAAGGGAACAAATGAGCAGACATGTAAGCTTGCTGGTGACCACACTGGTCTACTGCTGAGTGGAAAAGGAGGAAAGACAGCAATGAAGAAATGGGCTGAGTTCAATCACATTCCATAAACTCCTGTTGACCTGGAGATGAGAACAAGAAGAGGAAGGGGTGGTTGGTCCAAAGTGTGGTGAAACCTGCGGACACTTGAGCCCACGGACAAGGACATAGCCACAGAGAGCTAGAGCTGAGAGTGAAGCATCCAGCTGATATGAAGTAAGGGGAGATGCACAAGAACACCCATTTGACCTAGCCTAGATGGCTTGATAATCAGAACTAGACTAGAGGAAGATAAAAAACAATTTTTGATAAAGGAAACAAGGGTAAATTGCTACAATTTGATGAACTTGACCTATACTCATGGAGGCAGTAACTCTAAATACCAACAGAAAGGGAAGGCATCTTCACATCAAGTATCAAGCTATCCCCTCTGGACACAGGGTGGACAGGGGTGGGCAACTTAGACACTGGCTACCTAAGATGAGGGGGCGATAAAGGTATGAAATGACTGGCTTACAAGGTTTCAAAGGGGAGCTTAGTTTAAGAGTATGGGGAGAAAGAAAGAGTCCCCACTGAATAGCTGTCATCTTGTCTAGATGGATCTGGTTAAAAGAGATGGGAATAAGATTCTTATGATTCACTAGTGACTAATTGTTATCATGACTAATTGCAACTGTCACAATTGTAAAGGTTGAAGTTTTGTAGTAAAAACAGAGGAATGGTTAATCTTACAGTCCAGAAACAAAGGACTCTAGGACCATCAAAGGAGAAGAGCACAGTGGAATGCGAGACCTTATCCAGAGAAGCAGTGACACCAGAGATGGAGGCAGAGATGGGGACATGGAGAGGGGGTGCAGCTGAGGACTCTAGATTCATGGAAAGAGAGGGACTAAGAGCTGGTGGCCAGGAGGCAGACTTGCAGAATGTGCCCTTTGGTGGTGTAAATTATTATATATGCCTGAGTGGTGTTGTTGTTTTTTAAAAAAAGAGCTAGAGAAAAACACTTAACTGATGGTACGTGGAGGGGATTATAATCATTGTAATGAAACAAGGTGTATGATTTGTTGAATGTAAAGCTGATGATCTGCCCTGTAAACTTTTACTCAATTCCCAACAAAAACTTTAAAAAAAAGCATGAGAAAACAACAACAAACAAACATGCAGTCCAATCACTTATTTAATTTCCTGTAAAATTTTTAAATGAAGGAAAAAAACCTGCCCAAATGAATTTCAAACCTAGCAAACAGCCTGCAATTCTGTGACAGAACTTTAATAGTGCTGAGATTGGAACTTAGAGCTGCTATCACAATCAGTTCTATTTCAAGGCTCCAACTCATCTGCAGGTATTCCACTGCTGTCCAGTTGATTCTGGTTCATAGAGACCCTACTGAAAACTGCAAGGTCGGCAGTTCAAACCCACTGAGCCGCCCCTTGGAAATCCTACAGAGGGTTGCTTTGAGTCAGAATCAACTTGACGACACACAATAACAAATCTTTACAGAAGCAAACTGCCACATCTTTTTCTCTCGGAGTGGCTGGAGGGTTCAAACCAACCACCTTTTGGTTCCCAACTGAATACGTTAACCATTGCACCATGAGAGCTCCTTTCTGCAACAAGGAGGGAGTTCATTTTAAAATAACTATAGGCTTGTTTCTTGTTAAAGGCTTCCAGGAATTATGCAAGAGTCATGACCAACTTCTGACCTATCCCAAATGTCCTAGGAGAGACACTCATCTGTCATTAGCCTTGGCTATTACCCTGAGTTAAAAGGATATCAAAGGATTTCAAATATATTTTAAAGCTACTTAATACAGAATGTCCAAGGGAGAGATGAGACTTTCTGCTCCTGAAATTTAGAGCATCGGCAATCCTATAATGGGTCTCTATGAGTTGTAAACGACTCAATGGCACACAACAACTACAAAAACACATCATGTGAAGACCTATTAGGTCCTTATCTAAAGCTCTGGAAAAACGAAATAGCTATAGTTTCTTTAAGGCAAACATCTATTTCTTAGGTATTGAGACCAGCTCTCTCCATATATCATATTGTTTAATAATCCCAATAAACCTATTTTATTCTGAGAAGAAACTAAGGCTCAGACAGTAACCTGCCCAAAGCCAAAGAGCTGGCAAGTGATCCACCTTCGGACCCCTTCCCTTCCCAGCCAAGTGCCCTTGGGTTCATTATACCAGATGTAGGCTTTATAAAACCCCACACTGCTGGGAGAATATTCCCCTACAAGCCACACACACACAGGAGGGAGCTCTTTGTTCTTTATTGGGTCCGTATTACATATATTGGGGGCACGGTGGCTCCAGATGATAACCACTGGATTGCAAAAAGGTCCTCGGTTCGAGTCCACCAACCGTTCCGAGAGAGGAATACGCTTCTGTTCCCGATAAGATTTAAAGCCTCAGAAACCCTACACAGGGTCGCTATGAGTGGGAAACAACTATATGGCACTTAATAACACCTTATCTATCTTCTTCTAAGAACCACACGGTAGAAGTTTAAGGATAAGTTTGTCTAGTCGACGAGCCTCATCACTGACAGCCTATGTGAAGGGGGTTCGTGGACACAAGGGCGCGGGTACTGACGCTCCCAGAGGTTCGTTCACTCTCCCTTCCAGATCCCATGTAATCAGCATTCTATCCTTCAAACACTCTCATCCCAGTTTTCAAAGGTCTACTTCCGCTCCGGGGAGAAAGATGAGGCTTTCTGCTCCCGCGAAGATTTAAAGTCTTGGAAACCCTATACAGGCTCGCTCTGACTCGGAACCGACTGGACGGCACTTAACAACAACTTCAAGATATGACAAACGGGAGGAGTGGGACACCCGAGTTCCAGGCTCCATTCTGTCACCAGTTATGATTCGGACAAAGGGAATTCAATCACCCTTGTGGACCCGTTTCCCTGAGACATAGAAAGCAGTGGACATGAAGCAAACTGCGCTCTTTAGATCAAGCCGACTTATGTAAAGCACCTGACGCTGTTCGGATTTGGTAGCTGGCAAACAGGCATAGAGTAAATAAGTGGTTACGAATCGGGTTGCTAACAGCTACCAGCTGCTCCGCGTGAGAAAGATGAGGCGTTCTGCTCCCATAAATATTTGCAGCCTCGGAAACCCTGTGCAGGGTCACTATGAGTAGGAACCGACTCCATAGTACTTAACAACAACAATCTTTATCTTTTTTTCCTTCTGATCCCAAATCCTAAACCCAGACATCAGGTGATCACAGCTTAAATGAGGTAGCAACAAGTCGAATAAGCAGCCCCCATTTACCACCCTCTTGCAGGCCACTGGGAAGAGGTCGCGTCCGGAGGCAGAAGCTAGAGACCTCGGGGTCGCTATCAACAGACCAACTTACCCAGGACGTGCCAGGCCCGCGCCCCTTTAGCTCCCACGCCTCGGAAGCTCCTATCTAAGTCCGCCGACCCCGACTTGGGCCCGACACGACCCCCACAGCCTGTCCAGTTCGCCGACAGCCGCTCACCTGCGCCAGAGAGAGCAGCAGGAAGCCTAGGGCCAGGCTGCGCGCCCTCATGTTGCCGTCGCGAGGGATGTTAGCGTCAGTGGGCATTGGGCTCGCTCAGCTCTGTTCCGTTCCGTGTCCCAGGTGCCGCTTCACGCCCTCTGGCTCAGTTTCTGGTGCTGGTGCCGGCGGAGGGAAGGAGGGAGCAAGCGTAAGGGGCGACGAGCTGCGCGCGCAGGTCAGGAAGGAGGAAGGCGTCGCCGGTTTCTCCCCTTACTGGGCGGGGCCTGGGCGGCACTGGGAGCGGGACTTGGACCCCCGCCCCGGACGACTTCTCAAGGCTCTAGCTTTATAGTTCGTGCATTCCGCCCAGACGTGGTGTTGACGTTGGGGCTGGGAGCTTTTGGGGACTCCCAGGCCTAGTCAGCAAAGCTTTGGGAATCAAACCAGGAAGATATTTCAGGAGTTGTGCCAGCACTATGTGGTTTTGGTGTTTTAAGTCATTTGTGGGATAAAGTACTGGACCGCAAGGTCGGTTTGAACTACAAGGTCGGCAGTTCAAATTCACCAGCCCCCTCTTTGGAAACCCTATGTACTATCGCTTTGAGTTGGATGGAACCGACTCGATGGCACTTAACAGCAACATCAACAACCGGTCGTAAGGATGGCCCAGGGCCAGGCAGCGTTTAGTTCTGCAATGCATGAATTATGTATGGAATCGTCATGAGTCGGGAGAAACTCAAGGACAACGAACAATAACAGGTTGGAGAAGCTTTTTCTCCTCCCAAACCCAGTCACCCAAAAGGAATGGAACAGCACCTCAGGGAGGTGACGCACTATGGCCTGATGGTGTCTTGATCTGGAGCGCAAGGGGGCGGAGCGTGGAGGTGGGTGGCGCCCTTAGCTACCGTAGCTTGTTTATTGTCAATTCGGCCACCTTTTGAGAAAGCTTTAGAACCCCACCACCTACTGGCTGAGCCATGCGTAGCCGGGAACCCATTGGCGTGGAGAGACCCCCGGTGGTGGTGGTTGTTAAGTGCCAGTGAGTCCGGTTCTGACTCATAGCGACCCTATGTAGGGTTTCTGAGCAGCTGGTGAGTTTGAACTGCCAACATTGTGGTTCGCAGTTCATCGCCATACCAGAAGACTAGGTGAAGTCAGGTAACCAAGATTAAAATAGAGGCGTTTTCCTTTATGAGCCTTGCACTTAAATATATATTTGGCTTTCACTCATTTTTGTATACATTTATAAATAACATTTCTCCTCAGATTTTAATACTTCAGACCTTGACTCAAAACCATCACTCCTGTTCACTTTGAAGCCAAGGAAATGGAAGTAGGAATCTCTCTTCCCAACAGTAGAAGCCAAGTTTGAATGGAAAAATTATCCATATATTGTTATTGCTGTTAAGTGCCTTCGAATTGGTTCAACCAATAGCCACCCTGCATAGGGTTTCAAAAGAGCAGCTGGTGAGTTTGAACCACCAACACTGTGGTTCAAACTGACCTTGCGGTCGAATGCTTATCCATCTCTGGTAGTAGTGGTTATGTGCCGTGACCCTGCATAGGGTTTCCGAGATTGTAAATCTTTCCAGGAGCAGAAAGCCTCACCATTCTGCTCATAACCCTTATGCTACCAAAGCTCCTTTATCCATCTATAGCAATAACCAAAATTATGTGGCACTCTGATGAAGGTAATACTTGTTATGTGTTATGAGTGCTCATCCCTATACAACCAGAATGCTTCGTAGAAGCAAGGATGGCAAGACTTTGGCTCAGCAATTTTGGGCACTTCATTAAGAAAGACAAATTGCTAAAAATGGACATCAGTGAAAATGAAGGAAACCCGCAACTAGATAGACACAATAGTCACAACAATGGACTTAAAACATAGCACAGTCATGAAGAAAGCACAGGACTTGGCAATGTTTCCCTCTGTTATACATAAGGTCACCATGAGGTAGAGCCTGCTCCATGGCAACCAGCAACAACAATCCCTATCCACAGAGAGATTGGGCAGTTATTCTCTTGCCTTCCCACTATCTCAGTTCTGGGAAGTCTACCTAAGTGTCCTGGTAGTGAAACTATAGGCATTTCCTCTTGGACTTTCAGCCCTTGATCGTCCATGACTACCTCCTGGCCCTTATCCAAATGTGTGTTGTCCCATCCCTCAAACCCAAACTAAACACTGCCCTTGAGTCATTCTGACCCTGAATAGGGTTTCCAAGGCTGTAATTTTTTACGAAAGCAGAAAGCCTTTTCTTTCTCTAGTGGGGTAGTTGGTAGGTTTGAACTGTTGACCTTTTGGTTAGCAACCCAGTGCTTATCCTATGAGCACTTCAAGGGCCTCTTCCCCCAGCAGGGAGAGATTACCCAATAAGCAAAAGTGTTGTTAACTTTAGTTGATTCCAACTCATACTGACCCTGTATAGGGTTTCCAAGGCTTTAAATCTTCACAGGAGCAGAAAGCCTTATCTTTCTCCCAGGGAGAAGTTGTCCTTTGAAAACTGGGGTGGAGTGTTTGGAGGATAGAATGCTGATTACACTGAATCTGGGAGCCTTAGGATTCAGAAGTTTCCCATTTACAGCCTGTGCCCTTGTCCATGAACCTCCTCACATAGGCTGTCAGTGATGAGGAGGTCAGTGGGTCAGAAAGGTAGGCAGATAAGAGGTTCCATTGACTAGACAAACTTCTCCTTAAACCTCTACTGTGTGGGTCTTAGGAGAAGATAGGTAAAGTGTTGTTGTTAAGTGTCATTTAGTTGTTTCCCACTCATAGTGACCCTGTGTAGGGTTTCTTAAAATTAAAATCTTCTCGGGAGCAGAAAGCCTCATCTTTTTCCCTTGGAATGGCTGATGGGCTTGAACCAGGGACCTTGTGGTTCATAGTCCAGTGCTTATCGTCTGGATCCACCTTCCAATAAGCAAGGTAAGCATGGGTTTATTTGCACTTACTTACTAATCTGTAGTGAACCTATTTCATGTTTTGCACCAGAGCGGTGAAACTTGTTCACTACAAATTAGTAAGTACAAGTAAGCCTGTGCTCACCGTGTTTACAGTGTACTATGAACCTGTCTATGGAATCCTGATGTGGAGCCATAGGATAAGCACTGGACTACAAGGTCAGTTTGAATCACAAGGGTGGTGGTTCAAGCTCACCAGCTGCTCCTTGGAAACCTATACAGGGTTGCTGTTAGTCGGGCCTGACTCGACAGCACTTAACAACATGAACCTATCTGCTATTGCTGCTTTTGTGAGCTGTCAAGTTGATGCCAACTCATAGCGACCCTGCAAAGAATTTCCAAAGCAATTACTCTTTTCAGCAGTAGAAAGCCTCATCTTTCTCCCTGTCAGGAAGTGTACATTTGAAAAGAGGCTTTGATTCTGTAGGAAGGTACTGTGGGAGAGAGCTTGATGCCAGCCATGCCTAGAAGCAGAATCTTTGATGTGGTAAAAAAAATATTAAATTGTTCACAACAGATTAGTAAGTAAGCACAAGTAAGCACAAATAAGCCATGTTTGCCTTATTACTGGGTAATCAGACACTGTTCCCTAGACTTCTGCACTGGGTGGTTTAGCTGCTCTAATGTGGTGGTTGTTATGTGCTGTGGAGTCGGTTCCAACTCACAGCAACTCTGCACTGGGTTTCTGAGGCTATAAATCTTTACCAAAGCAGAAATCCTCATCTTTCTCCCATGAATAGCTGGTAGTTTCAAATTGCTGACCCTGAGGTTAGCAGCTGGACTCGTAACCACTATGCTACCAGAGCTCCTTGCTCTAATACAGTGGTTCTCAAAGTGTGGTCACCTGACCAGCAGCATCAGCATCTCCTGGGAACTTTGTAGAGAAGCAGATTTTCAGGTTCTACCCCAGATTTGCTGAATCAGAAACTTTGGAGGTTGGGTCAAGCCTTAAAGTTGACTTGAATGTACACTCAAATTTGAGAACCACTCTTGTACTGTGTTCTGGATCCTGGTGAGTTAGTTATTCTTCTAATTTTCATTAAAAGTTTTGGAGAGAAATGCAGCAAAATATTTTACTAAATAATTGATGTGAGAAAAAGGAAATTTCAAGCACCATATGAGATATTTGGAATGGGTAAGCTTTTTAAAATTTCTATTTTAAAAACTGCACTAATTTTGTTCTTGTTGAGGATATACATACCAGTTTCAACTGTTTCTACAGGTACAATTCAGTGGCATTGATTATATTCTTTGAGTTGTATAACCATTGTTATCCTCATTTTCTGAGTTGTTCCTTTCCCCACAACGTAAATTCACTGCCCCCTAAGGTTCCTATCTAATCTTTCCAGTTGCTATTGTCAACTTGATCCAATATAGATCTTGGTGGTGGCAGTGGTAGTGGTGTGCCATGGAGTCAGCTCTTATAGCGACCCTGTATAGGGTTTCCGAGGCTGTAAATCCTTATGGGAACAGAAAGCCTCATCTTTCTTCCACAGAATGGCTGATAGTTTCGTACTGCTGACCTTGAGGTTAGGAGCCTAACTTGTAACCACTACACTACCAGAGCTCCTATATAAATCTTTAAAAAGCATAACGCTCAAGGCAAGCTTTTAATTAATTAATTAAATTCTTTATTGTGAATTGAGTGAAGATTTACAGAGCAGATCATTCTTTTCAAATTCAACAAATCATACACTTCATTTCACTTCAATGATGGCAACCCCGTTGATAGAACATCATTTATCCCACTTACCCCATGTGCGTAGTGGTTACGAATTGGGCTGCGAACCTTAAGGTCAGCGGTTCGAAACTACTAGCTGCTCCGCGGGAGAAAGATGAGGCTTTCTACTCCCGTAAAGATTTACACCCTCGGAAACCCTGTACAGGGTCGCTATGGGTCGGAACCGACTCGATGGCACTTAACAACAACAACAACACCCCATGTATTTCTGGTTTTCATTCCTCCTTTCTTCCTAGCCCTTCTGAACTTTGCCCTTGGGTAAATACTGCCCTTTTGATCTCAAATTGTTGACCATTCTATTAGGTTTGAACCTCATTTGTTTGTTGTCCCCCTATATACTTATCTATTGCTTGGCTGCAAGTTTAGC